TTTCTCTTCCAACATTTTGTTCTTGATACATGGTGTTATATCTTCTTTTATCAATGATGACATGAATTATGGAGTTTTTAATTTGTTTTTCATTTACTTTGTTTCACTTTTCTGCACCTATATTCTCTGTTTCCTCCAAATTGCTTTCATCTGTTTTTGTTTTGGGGTTTTTTTTTTTTTTTTTTTTTTTTTTTTGCCTATGGATAGATTTTGGCCACCTTATAGGGAAAGCTCTATAGAGCTGATTGGAAGCTGTGTGTGCATGAGTGGACTGGTGGGTTTGTGGACTGTTGGGTTTCACTGTAGAATGACAGCAGGGAGCCAGGTTTTTGCTGAAGAGCACCCAAATGACATTGTTGTTAAGTTTTTGGAAGGGCTATTCTGTTCCTTCAAAGAATAAGGATCTTCTAGTATCTTCCATGTAAATAAAAATTATCTTTTAATATATTATTTCTGAATTTAACCTTGTCAGCTTACAATCCCTTATTTTTTATTTTTTACACCTGCAGCACCTGGTCTTCCTAGGTGGTCTCCCATCCAAGTACTAACCAGGCCCAACCCTGCTTAGCTTCTGAGATCAGACAGGATCGGGCTTGTTCAGGGTGACATGGCCGTAGTGAATTTATGTATTTTAATATCACATGTCCTTGGAATAGTACACAGATCAGTTTATTCATTAAAATAAAAGAATTGGATTTGATCTTTTCTATCTGTAACCAATCTGTAATGTTTATCTACAACTCCTATACAGCTCCTAATAATTAAAATGTTTAGTATCTCAATATACACAATATATTAAACCACACTTTTTTTTCTACAAAGAGCCTGTGTGTGGTCCAGTAAAGGTTTACTAATGCACCAGATACATAATGTGCCTTCTGTAAATATGACCTATATATAAGTTGGCATAATATAACTCAGAAAACTATAAATGAGACACACTTGGCTTTGAATTGCAGCACTGTCATATACAAGCTGTGTGACCTTGAGAAAGTTAAAATTCTCTTTGAGCCTCAATTTCCTCATTAATTTTCTTATGTGTCAGTCCCTATATTAGCACTGGAATGAGAGTTGCAAATAAAAACAAAGTTTCCTCCCTCCATAGAGCTTCTATGATATGTTGTTATTAGCTATAATTCTGTTTTAATGCTCACATTTTATATCCTGGTATTTCTGTGGTTAAAATAATGCTAACAGGTCCTTTGTGCCCATACCTACATTTTTAATGATCACTAAGAATATTATATACGTTTACACCATTTGATTTTTTTAACCTAAACTCGAATTGTTAAAAGTTTAATAAACTATAATAGATTGGAGAATTAACTAAAATAGATAGTATTTGTTCACCTCAACTCATTTGAGGGCCATCTATCCTTGAGGGTACTATAACTAGTGTATAAATGTTGCATCTTCAGCTTTCGGCTATTACCTTTTGCTGATTGTTGTTTTTACTGTCTCATATTATAAGATATTGTTAACATCTAAGTCTAGGAATTGGAATTCCCAAGATAATGATAATAATAATAAAAAAGGCTGTAATACGAATTTCTGTGCTTCAGAGGTTTATAGAACTCAAGGAGATTCTTTTTATAATGCATGAAGCAGTATATTTCTAAGGGCACTAAAGGATAATCTTTGCTCTCTCATTTTCTCATTTTAGGGAAACTAAAACCAACAATGGCATTCATGTCAGGAAAATTGAAGATTAAGGGAAACATGGCCCTAGCAATCAAATTGGAGAAGCTAATGAACCAGTTGCAGGCCAAGCTGTGAAAGAAAAGAAAAAAATTTGTCGACCTCTAAGCTCAAAAAGTAAAAGAGTTCAACAGTTAAAATCTAATTTTGTTTTCTTCCCTATTGTATAAGGTTATGCATGTTTGCTCTGAAAAATAGAATTTCTGACTTGAAATTATAGTAAAAACAGCTAGCTAATCAAACATAAGCTTCATTAAGTGGAATTCTGAGACATTCTGTTTTGTATGTTTTGTGAGTTTTGTCCTCTGTGCATTATAAACCATTCATCATCTTCTTCTAGGAAAAGTATCATGAGCAACCAGTCAGGGTCAAACAGTAAAATTAGCTCTTTTCAAAGCTTATTCCCATGTAAAATGAGGCTAGTTGGTTCTGAAATTTTTAGTTTGGGATTACATACTAATGATCTTAATAATATTTTAGATTTTTATGAGCTTATTTTAAAGAAGATCTATAATACATTTTCATAGGAATCACATACTAAACTACTTAATACTATTTTGAAGTCTAGTAAAACAAAGATAGTTTTCATTTTGTTAACTAACTTTCCAGGTGTAAGTTTTCTATAGGAAAATATTAATGTAATTCAACTAATTGCAGTATGTATCCTATTTTAAAGTATGTAAAAATGTCCTAAAATAAAATAATTTCTCCCCAGAAGTATGCACTTGGTAACAGTGTTTTGAACTGAGAACATTGGAATAGATGGTTGTTAGAGGTTTAATTATCTGCCCCCCAAATTCATATATTGAAGTCCTAATTCCTAGTACTTCAGAATGTGACTGTTTTTGGAGATAAAGCCTTTAAAAGAGGTGATAAGTTAAAATGATGCTTTTAGGGTGGGCCCTAATCCAATCTAACTGGTGTCCTTATGAGAAGAAGAAATTTGGGTGCAAAAGAGCGACTAGGGATGCACACAGGAAAGAACATGTAAGGACACAGCGAAAGGTCATCTGCAAGTCAAGGAGAGAGGCCTCAAAAGAAACCAAATCAGTGGACACCTTGATCTTAGACTTCTAGTCTTCAGAACTATAAGAAATTTTCGTTGGTTTAGCTACAGAGTCTGTGATATTTTTGTTCTGGCAACCCTAGCCAACTAATAAAATGGTTTGTCTTTTTTAAAAAAGCTAAACTTAAAAAAAGCCCTTACTATTCATTTTAATCAGTTAAAAATACTTGTTGAGTGTAATATTTTTACTTCTCATCTTCTATTCTACTATTATGCTGTTAAGCAATTTAGTTAATTCTGACATTTCACATAGAATCGTAATGTTAGGGGATTTAATGTATATTTTACAAATGAAGAAACAGAGGATCAGAGATGAGAAAGGACTAGCCCAAGGCCAAAATTAACAAGCCAAGCCCTATCTAACAAAAACCTCCCTGTACATTGGCTTTGAATAGAACTTGAATGCCTCACCTCCCCCTCCATGAAGCCCAGATGGATTGACTTTTGTATGGTAGCCTTACAACTCCCTTGGCATCTCCCAGTCATTTCTAGCCATGTGAGGAACCAGGCCATACGAGATGTTGCCACCTTCCTCTCTACTGGAGTTTTCTAAAGACTTCTTGCTCCCTTTCTCTGCATTCTCTGAATGGGAAATAAAAAGTAGAAAATATTGTGAAGCAGGAATTCTGGGGTTCTGGTCACTAAAACATGAACTTACTAATGGAAAGGCTTTAGGATATTGAAAAACAAAAAAAAATCTAGAGGGCCCTGGCTTTCACATCAGTAATTGGACTTGGGTGAGGTCATCTGCCGCCCCTTTGTGGTCATCACTAAGAAGTACCGCACTATTCTATCAGAAGTAAAGGTGGTCACACCTACATTCCTGAAACCTTTTCTCTTGCCACATCCCCCTCAATCAATTCACTTGTGTTTCTTTTTCTTGGTTCTTGTCCACTAAATCTGTTGAAGTTTAGATACTCCCAGAAGTTTTGAATGGCTGTTTCGTGTGTTGCCCAGTAGCCAATGGAGCCCTGTTTCTGAAACAAGATTGGTACGGAGGGAAGTCATGTTGTTTGGCTTTTTAGTGATTGAGTGAAATTATTTAGATATTATTTTTAAGATGGTTTGTTGCTAGTAATCCTATAGTTTAAAAAATCCTCATATAGTGTGCCTCTTAATCCTCTTAAGTAGGAAAAAAACCCCATCTTTTTCCTCTATCTTAAGTCCTCCGCTGAGGCCCTGTAAATTAGACTAACAAAAGATAGATTAACAAGAGAAAAACAAATAGAATTTATTAACATCTATACTGCATATATATATGTACATGGGAGCATCCAAACATGAGTAACTCAAAAGAGATGGTTAGAAGTTGAGCTAATGTAATACCTTAACAAAAGAACAATAGAATAGTAACACAAAGGAAAAGACTTTGACTTTCTAGTGTGGCAAATTGTGTGAAGGAAAATACATGGATTGTATAGTAAGAGTATGTTCAGTTTTGTAAGAAACTGTCAAATTCTTCCAAAATGGCTGTACCATTTTGCATTCCCACTAGCAATGAATGAGTGCTCCTGTTGCTCCACATCCTCATCAGCATTTGATATTATCAGTGGATTTTGGCCACATTAACAGGTGTGTAGTGGTATCTTATTGGTTTAATCTGCAATTCCCTAATAAGATGTTGAACATCTTTTCATATACTTGCTTGGCTCTCTGTTCTTTGGTGAGGTGTCTTATTCAGGTATTTGGCCCATTTTTAAATCAGGTGGTTTGCTTTCTTTTCGTTGTATCCTAAGAGCTCTTTGTATATTTTGGACAACAGTCCTTTCTTTGTTAGACATATCTTTTGCAAATATTTTCTCTCAGTCCTTGACTTGTTTTCTCATTCTCTTGACATTCTTTCACAGAGCATAAGTTTTTCATTTTAATGAAGTCCGGCTTATTAGTCATTTCTTTCCTGAATCATGCCTTGTAGTATATTTACAAAGTTATTGCCATACCCAAGGTCATCTAGGTTTTCTCCTGTTATTTTCTAGGAGTTTTATAGTGTCACATTACACTTTTATATCTGTGATCCATCTTGAGTAAATTAATTTTTTGTAAAGTCTTTGCTTAGATTCACTTTTTTTGCATGTGCATATCTAGTTGTTCCAGCACCATTTGTAGAAAAGACTATCTTTGCTCCTTTTTTAAAGATTAATTGATTATAGTTATGTGTGTCTATTTCAGGGCTCTCTTCTGTTCCGCTGATCTATTTGTTTATTCTTTCACCAATGCCACGCTACCTGGTTACTATAGCTTTATAGTAAGTCTTGAAGTCAGGCACTGTCAGTCCTCCAACTTTGTTCCTCAATATTGAGTTGGCTATTCTGGGTCTTTTGCCTTTCCATATAAACTTTAGAATCATTTTCCTGATACCCACAAAATAATTTTGGTATTGCACTGAATCTATGAATCAGTTTTGGACAAGCAGATGTTTTGACAATATTGAGTCTTCCTATCCATTAAGTTGTTCTTTGATCTCTTTCATAAGTATTTTGATCTCTTTCATCAGGTTTCTTTATATAGCTCTTATACATATTTTGTTAGATTTGTACTTCAGTATTTCATTTCAGGGGGTGCTAATGTGTTTTTTTTTTTTTTTAATTTCAATTTCATATGTTCATTGCTGGTACATAGGAAAGCAACTGACTTTTGTATACTAACTTTACATCCTACCAGCTTGCTTTAATCATTTAGTAATTCCAGGAGGATTTTTTTTTTTTTTTTGGTCAGTTACTTCAGATTTTTTTTACATACAGTTATATCATCTGTGAAGTTTTGTTTTTTCCTTCCCAGTCCGTATAACTTTTCTTGTTATTGTATTAGCCGGGACTTCCAGTATGATGTTGAAAAATAGTAGTGAGAGGGGACATCCTTGATCATTATCTTAGTGAGAAAGCTCCAGGTTTCATCTATGTTGTATCAGGTGACTACATTTCTTTTTTTAAGGCTGACTAATATTCTATTGCATGTACTTGCCACGTTTTTATACATTCATCCATTCATGACATTCGGGCTGCTCCAACGTCTTGGCTCTTGTGAAGAAAGCGGCAGTGAACATGGGTATGCCAGTGTCTCTCACCAGCAGTACACAGGGTTCCAATTTCTCCACAGTATTACACATTTAAAATACGTAGTAATTAACTGTTTTTAGACGTACATCATTTTGTCAAAAATGTTTGCGCAGATTTTTTTAATTCAGTCTAGACCAGGAAGAATGTTAATAGAGCCAGGTATTAAGAATCCTTTCTCCTTTGAAGATAGTCTCTTTCTCTGCCTCAGTCATATTCTTCTCTCCCCAACCTACCCTAAGGGTAGGAGTGGCTAAGGTTTCTCTGTCACAGTTGGGGTGAGGCCAAGATATGAATCCCGCACATGGCTAATCACCTATGCTCTAAATGTTACTTATTACCATTATCTTTTGGAGATGCTCAGAGCGTTAAGTAGAAAAGGAGTTAAGGACATGGACTCTGCAGCCAGACTGCCTGAGATGAATCTGGGTTCCTCCAGCCACAATGTGATCTTGGGCAGATTTCTTAATTTCTCTGTGCCTCAGCTTCCCCATCTGTGAAATAGTAATGCTAACACCCACTTCGTGTAGTTATTAGGATTAAATAAATTAATATTCGCTAAGCACTTACTGTAAACCCTGGACACATAATAAGTGCTCTGAAAGTGTCTGCTGGGTAAAATTAGGGCGGAGGGCGCCTGGTAGCATGTAGCACATCCAGCCTTACCTCTGTTGTGCCCAGCCGCGTAGATGATGTTAGTGCATGCTTCCCCAGACTCACTGCGTGCTAGATGTTTTTAAGCGGCCCCGCTCCTTCCAAGGGAAGGGTCCGTGTGTTGCGGTTGGTTTAGGAACTTCTACAGGGCAGCGGTGGCTGGGTTGTACGTCTGTCGGTCAGAGGTGTTCTTGCACATGCCTACGTGCACAGGTGACTGTTCGGCGTGTTAAAACAGGTGCCACACACCTGTCACACACGGAGCAGAGTCTTGTAAGAAGGTCTGCTTCCAGCGTTTAGGCGGAGCTGTATGGTACTCCAAGAGGCAGTGGGGACCGCGGGCCAGGTCGTACGGCAGGAGCGGGTGCTGCCCAGCTCAGACCGTACTGGAGATCGTGGGTTCCACACCTGTCGGGCTGCGGAGACCGAGCTCGTGCGCGCGCGTGTGTCGTAGAAGGGTCGGTCCACACTCCCCGCGGGCAGCGACAACTGCGAGCTCGGTGCGCGTCGTAGGAGGTGTCGTTACACACTTCCTGTGGGTCTCGCGGACCACGGCGCGTTTCCGG